AAATCGGACAATAACCACGCCCACATCCCATATAACGGTAATTTCGAGAAATACAAAATCTTCGATAAATCAGTAAATATTGAAGCTAATTTATTCAAAATTGATGATTGCAACAATTCTTTACCAAGAAATACGTTTATGACAAAATTTTGGAAAATGGGCGTAGCACCGCCCACTTGTGATCACATATATGTATCTCGCTAACCGTTCTAGCAATTTGTACCAAGCTCGGTATGGTTATTGTGCTTGCCACATAAAAGCAAACCGTTGAAAATTGTTGAAATCGGACTAAAATTGAGGCCGCTTTTCATATAACGGTAAATTTCAGATATGCTTGAAACTGCAATATTTCGAAATTTAAGGACGCTAATTTACTTAAAATGTATACACCCCGGCTTATCATGTAGCGGTAGCTTTCGGAATGGTGGAAAACATATATTTAATACTTGCGCCGGGTATTTAATGTTCGGCTCCGCCCGAACTTAGACTTTCTTACTTGTTTTTTTGTAAAATTATATCTCATTACTAACAAAACCGTGATAAACGACGTCCTGAAGGAGTTGGAAAGGAGAGGAGCCAGGTTATTGCCTAAGCGGATGACGTGGCACTTATCGTCAGAGGAAAGTACGATCTTATGCAAGGGTAACTAAACATGGTCACAAATTGGTCCGCTAGCTGCGGACTTGCTGTCAATCCTGGAAAGACGGAGCGCGTTCTTTTTACCAAGAGGTACCAAAAGTCCCATTTCCAGCTCCCCTCAATAGGGGGTGTTCCACTTGTTCTCTGCGACAGGGTCAAGTTCTTGGGCGTGGTCCTGGATGTGAAGTTGTCATGGAAAGCAAATATTGAGGAACGAGTAAAGAATGCATCAGTGGCTCTCTACTGCTACAAGAACGCCATGGGGAAGAGATGGGCCTCTCCCCAAAAGTAATGCACTGGCTATATGAAACCATTATTAAGCCAATAATGTTATAGGGGGTCATTGTCTGGCGGAGTCCACTGGAAAATACCACTCATTTTAGAAGCTAGACCGCGTGCAAAGGGCCACCCTCGTTGTAATCATCGGGGCGCTCCGGACCACTCCTACTTTAGCGCTAAACGCTATACTCAATGTCGAACCAGTCGACAATGCGGACAAAGTAGCGGCGGTTCGCTCAGCCATTCGGCTCAAAAGCTCTGGGTTCTCTTACAATCCAACACACGCGCACTCGACAATTCTCGAAATCTTCGACTTCCTGCCGAATGAAATGGACCGGAGTCACCCGATGCTGGCCCCAAAAGGATCCTACTCCACGCACATCCCTCCAAGGGACGAATGGGAGAAGGGTAGTATTTGCAGAAGAGGTCCCATTAGCATCTTCACGGACGGATCGAAGCTGGAAGGGAGAGTTGGAGGAGGTGTGTACTGTAAGGAACTCTCAGTAGATCATACGTTCAGACTGCCGGATCTCTGCAGCGTTTTTCAGGCCGAGGTGGCCGCTATAAAAGAGGCAGCCGATTGGCTATGCACCAATGTATTGTCGGCGAGGAGGGTAAATATATACACTAATAGCCAGACGGCAATCAGGGCGCTGGGATCGCTAATGGTGTATTCCAAATTGGTAGGGGTATGCCTGACCTCTCTCTCAACTGAGATCAAGCTGATTTGGGTCCCAGGGCACGACGATATCCCAGGAAATTGCAGGGCTGATGAACTGGCTAGGCAAGGCAACCTCAAGGCCATCACCTCGGACAGGGAGGGAATTAGAGTTCCGTTGGCAACCTGCGGTCTGCTTTTGGACAAATGGGCTTACAGTCGGCTCAGCGAGCGCTGGGAAAAAACCCCGACCTGCAAAGTTGCAAGGTCCTTCTGGCCGGTTGTGGACCGCGGGCGGTAAGGGAGCTACTGCAGCTGGCTTAGTGCCACCGCTCGATTCTCACAGGTGTGCTGACCGGACATTGTCCTATGGGAACCCACGCGATGCGACTCCAGATCGTCACGGATCCCTATTGCGGCAGTTTCCTGGAAGACGAGGTGGAATCATCTCAGCACTTCCTACTCAACTGCCCGGAATTCGCTAGATAAAAGTTTAAGCACCTCGGTGCGCATCTCATCAACACTCCCGAGGGACTCGCCGGAGTGGACATCAGCTATTTGCGGAACTTTGTTGTGACCACCCAGCGCTTCTCGTAATTTTACACAGTTACAGATTTATTCGAGCGCCTCAGATTAACATATGAGGGATACCCTGCATCATGGTGAGTACCTCTGCTAAATCTAAGCCATCTATGTAGAGCCGCGCGCATAGGAGAGCTGATCAGAATAGTAAAAAAAAATGATAGGTGGATTTACTCGACCGCGTCAGATTAAGAAATCGTGGGTTAATTACGTGCGGAAAGGTGTGCATTTCAATAATCTGACGATTTGAGCGTGACGCAAGGGATTGGGAGGGTCGCAAATTTGCAAAAAAACAACGTTACCTGGACATTCTCGAGCGCGGTCAATTTTTATTTTATTATGAGGCATACAGCTGAAGGATAACGGGAAGTATATAATCTGACGATTTCCACAAACCGGAGTGACGAAAACCGTCAACAAAGATTGTCGCATGCACTTGCTGTTTTTCAAAACTACTACAGATTTTTCTATGAAATTTGTTATTTTTTGATTTGTTTGCTGTTTTCCGTTCATATTATTTGTCACAATCATTTGACTGTAAGTATACCCAGTGGACCAAATGCTCGCAAATGAAACCACATAAGAATTTGTTTGTAAGAATAACATACATTTTTCTGATAATTTTGAATACGGCAACCATAAGTTTACATACATGAAAAAATGTTAAACTCCGTTCCCTTCTTGCTCACTCTTTATACAGTATCTTAGTATAGTATCACGCAATCATGGGCGATCAAAGCACTCGTGGTATTACATGCAATATTACTAATTTTTACTAACTAATACCTTGTTTATACCGACATATAAAGCGCTTTGACCCAGTTCACTGCGATTCAAAGCCGATGCATTAACCAAATTTCAATGTTCGCTCTGAATTTCAAAAGTGTATTAACTCAGATTTGATTTCAAATCGGTTAGGAAACAGTTATAAACACATCACTTATTCGACGCGAAGTGAAAATAGGCTGACTTTCTTTACACAACCGCCTTTAAATTTGAATTATTTTTAAATTAATTTGAATTATTGTTTGAAATATCGAAATAAAACAACAAACTTTGTATACTTTTGAATACGGTTTCAGAGAGTGCGCTGTAAAGACACAGGTATAAACGCTTGAAAGAAATATGTGTTAAGTCAAATTGGTTTTTTTCTTAAAGTGAACATGTTCATCTTTTTATTTATCTTTAACTTTGTCCTGGTCTTCATCTTTATCATTGGCTTGATCCTTCAGTATAGGTTGTGAGTGTCTGTGCTTTTGTCATTGCCCTTGTTTTACTTTCTGCCCTTGTATCTTGCTCTCTGTATTTTCATTACCTACTCCACAATGCCGTTAAAAGTTCAATGCAGCCGCCCCCATCTATTTACGCAAACGCATACGCAAACATAGGCAAAAATTAAGTTTTATTTTCAGAGCATAAAATAAAACTCAAGAAATGACGATTATTTTCCGAGCAAAAAATAAAACTTAAAACGTAACCATTATTTTCCGAGCAAAAAATAAAACTTAAAATGTAAAGATTATTTTCCGAGCAAAAAATAAAACTTAAAACGTAACGATTATTTTCCGAGCAAAAAATAAAACTTGAAACGTAACGATTATTTTCCGAGCAAAAAATAAAACTTAAAACGTAGCGATTATTTTCCGAGCAAAAAATAAAACTCAATAAATAATCGTTATGTTTTGAGCAAAAAATAAAACTTAGTTAATAACGATTAAAAAGTGATTTTTATAATAAAAGTTATAACCGCTACGGTCCCTGCATAAAACACTTTTTTATATGGCGCTAAGCAAGAAATATTTAGGAGCATAAAATTTCATTTCGTTTTGTGCTAAAATACACTCTTTTGCAATCCATGCATAGGAACTTATATGCTAGGTATGTGTGTACATATTGCGATATTTTAACCGGTTTTGGCATTTGGAGTTTGTCTTTTGTTTATTTAATGCTTATTATTTTTTTTATAAAAGTCTAGCTGGTATACAACAAATACCATAAAAATAATAAAATTAGAAAAACTCTGGTTATTTTTACCAAAATTTAAAACTTTTTAATCACAATTTTGGTATGCCGTTTTGCAAACCACTTAATTCTAGCATTATGAAGAGCAAGTTTCAAGCTGGTATTAAATCCTGTAAATTTTTGGCAATTTCTTTTGCTGGCAGTGTCCTCCATATAAAAGAAAATTGTCCAATATACTTTTGTATGGAAAAAACGTGAAACACCTTTAACAAAATAAAATATTTTTTCGTGAGGTGTTTGCAAATGTTTTTTGATGTTGGCTGTTGTCTGTCGAAACATATGAAAAGATTTTCCAAATAATCGGCAAAGAATAGGCGAAAAAAGCCGATGCCGATGCTCAATTTTGTGCCGATACTAGACGATGCCGATTAATCGGTTGGACTCTACTTGACATTTCCAATTGGCGTCAGTTGGCACAGAAAAGAAACGACTGGCGTGCTTTGTTGAATTCGGCAAAAATCGCTTAGGCGGTTACAAGGCCAAATAAGAAGAAGAAGAAGAAAAGAAGAAGTAGAAGAAGAAGAAGATGAAGAAGAAGAAGAAGAAGTGTTTCAAGCAATAGTCGCTTCATTTTCGTGAAATGTAAAAGTGTTTTTATTGTAAAGGTTAGATGCTAGTTTTCAACTAGGTTGCGCAAGTTAGACTTTTTGTTCTACATAGTTCGGTTTAGAAATAAAAATGGCTGATGCTTTGTATTTTGACGTTTTGGAATTCACCCTTTGTTTAGGTTTATACTGAATATGCAAATTTATCTTAAATAAAAATTTAAACTTTTTTACTGTAATAAGTAACATACATATCTACTTCATCCATTTCACAGGGTGGGGAAAACTTTTTCCTTTACATTACTGTTTCCGACGGAGATCTAACAGCTAAAAACGAAGTTTTTGTTAACATTCTGGCAAAGGATAGTCATATGGTGACAAACTTTCGAACTCCCCCATCGGTTACGAGTGTTGTACAAAATTTTTCTCAAATCCTCCCTCAGTTCAATACGCTACTCGGTACACAACATTCAAATGAACGACCAATCAACCACCTTCCCTCAAAATTTGGCCTAAATCAATATATGTCTTCACACAACCATCATAGTGCTAGTAATGAATTAGAAATAGACACTTCCGAACAAACTACTCCACTGATGTCAACAGCAACGACAAATATGCCTCCTTCGACAACAGGTCGTATTCGGCTAAAAGCCATAATTAAGGCAGATAACAATGCTTCCGTAAATGGACTTAGAGAAAATATCTACAACTATAGCAACGATAGTGTTTTAATGGCAGATTCAAAAGAGAAGCCACTTCAGACCGAAATTAATGCAAGACCAGTGGAGAATAATAAAAAGAATAAATATCCTTATATAGATCCAGCTGATGAAAATGCATCGAACTTAATTTCAATCAAAGCAGTTATTATTCCAGTTATAGCAATTTCATGTGGACTTTTTTTTGCGGCAGCTGGTTTCTTTGGTTTCCTATACCGGAAACATTTGTGCGCTTTTAGCAAAAAATTAAAAAAAAAATCCAAGGAGGAAATAACTAAAAAATCTAACCACAGCAATTTAAGCTGTGATTTAACTGATGGCAGCCAAAATTCAATGGTATTGCAACATTGGAACGGGCCTATCGCCTACCACAACCGCTACGTTCCTCAACAACTGCAGAATGCCTTGGTGAGTGTACAAGCTATCTCATTCATAGCTACATATGTACATATCGTCGCCTGGGTAAAAGATTGTCGTAAGCGCCATTTTGACGATTTTTAGTTCTAGATGCAGTTATATACTTTGAAACAAGGTCTTTCGATTGGTGCTATCAGTTTTTAGATATCTCCTTTAGTTTCCGAGATATTGACTACAATTTTTTCGATAATTTAGTAAAAATTTAGTTAGTGATGCACCCATATTAAACCAATCAATATCTTAAAAATGGCGTTCTCCATTTTTGGATATCTCCTTCAGTTTCCGAGATATTGAGTAAAAAATGTCGTTAATTTGGTAGAAATTTTTATCACATTTTGTCGTGTTTCATGCAAAGTGGCTGCCGAACTGTGGCAAATGACGCTTACGATAAAATTTTACTAAAGAAAATCCTTCATAAACTGAAAACTAATTAACAATAATCATTAAAAATTAAATATTTTAAGAATTTTGTGAACTAGTAACATTTTCAGAGACTTTGGAGAAAATTTGTCTTCGCGTTTTTGAGAAATTGCATTCCAAACTTCACTCGCGATTTCCCACAACCTGTCGAAATTAGCATACGACAATCCTTTACCCAGGCGACGATATGTAAACTATAAAAGTACTTAAATTTAAAGTAAGTAATACAAAAAAGCTAAGCACATTTTTTATATTTATGGCAATATTTAGGTAACATCCCAATTAACAGCAAATTCCATGGATAGAAGGGCTATTCATAATACTGACCCAGGTAACTTAAGTGGAATTCAAAATAGTAGTAACACTATTGCTGGAGAAACACAAACCGGTATGAATATGAATATCGGATACCGTAGTGTTGTAGAATCTAAAGTTGACCGTGTTATATGCCGATGGGAATTTCCACGGCACCGGCTTAAATTCTTCAACATATTAGGAGAAGGTGCATTTGGTCAAGTTTGGCGTTGCGAAACAATCGATGTCGATGGTAAGTATTAAGGCATCAGATAAGTGATGGAAAATGTTGATACAATATATTATAGTCTAAGATCCGAATAAGGCACGAGCTTCACCCTTCTGTTTAAACGGTGAAATCAATTTTGTATGAAATTTAACGTGTTAGGAAATATTTTCCGAGTGGGTTGGCTCAAAAAATCTTAGCCAAGATATTTTTAACTAAATATAAAAAAAAAATATTATTTTTTTAGTTTACGCTCATTTGTTTAATGAACAAATTATATACCAATCGAAATTATTAAGCCTATAGAACCTGAAAACGTTGCGTTGTTTATTTTGTACCTTGCCTTCCTATCGTGTTGGCAGGTATGAACAGGTAAGTAATACTAGTAATTTCCACTCATCTGTTTAACACATTCTATAGGCTTTATGCTTTGGACTAGCATATATGTATGTAATTTGTTCAAACAAACAAACGAGTGCAAAATTAGAAAAAAAATCTGAATATTTAGTTAATAATATCCCGGCCGGGATTTTTTCAGACAACCACCTCGCGAAATATTTCCTAAGGGGCTGTCCATATATTACGTAATACCTTTGTGGGGGAGGGTGGGTCTAGGATTTTCCTACTTTTTCTTATATGGGGGGAGGGGGCGTCGCGTAGATTCTTACGTAATATTATTTTTCTTGTATTCTTATACAAAATTGTTCTTTATAAAATGCGAAAATTCACCCAATTAAAGTACTAAATTGCATTGAAATGAAAAATATACATACATTAAATACGAAGGATATTACAATTTTTTACAACTTTTGCTTTAATTTGTATATTTTTCTAAAAAAAACGTTACTCTTCGGTGTCTATTATAACCGAAAAATGCAGCTCGAACACAAACAGGCGAAAACTCCCTTACGTAATATATATGGACAGCACCTAAGCATTCACAAAAAGCTTCAGTTGATCTTTTCTGAGCCTCAGCGTCGAAGAGCAAAGAGGATAATTTCAAGACGCGGGCGAGAGCTCATGTGTGTCATCACAGGAAATGAAACAGAGGATATTGTTGAGTGGGTGAATCAAGAAAAAATTTCAGTGGACTGTGAAAATGATATATCTTTGAGTGAAAAAGAAGTACGAGATATCCCTGAGGCTATTCCTCTTTCAGATTGGCTGGCTGGACCGTGGACCAAAGAAACCGACAACAAAGAATGACTAGTATAACTATGTAATGAAGTTTTTAAGACTGACTAGGCATACATCCTATATTTGTTTGATGGAAATACAGTATATTTTGCTTAGCTGCACATCCTTCTTTGCACGAAAAACTTCTGCACGTAACCGAAAAAGGCACTTAAGCGAATTTTCTTTACTACTTCAATGAGGAAGGTATCCGAATCCCTATGAAACCAAATATTGGCGGAGCACTTACCATGTAGAAATTACTGCAAGCGAAATTTTTACCGAATGTTATCTAATTATCTATATAACTACATAAATTGATAGCCATTTTCGTTGTTCTGCGAGATGAGCAAAATAAATAAAAGGTTGTAAAATTAAGTAATTGTAGGGCCAGTGCAGGTAAACGCAATACTTTCTTTGATAATTGATACTAGTCGCACAATTTTTAAGGCAGGTATCGCCAATGTGCAGGTATGTTGAATGCATCTATCGGAGCAGTTTCCTTATAAATGTTAAAAATAATGCTTTTGATGCGCATTTTGGGGTAGGTATCTTAAATGTGCACTTAAGCATAGAGGCAGCAAAGCAAAATATACTGTATATAGTATTTTCTAATGTTTAACTGAAAAAACATTTCTAGGGGATTTTTATTCTTACGTAAGATCTGCGGCGGGGGTAGGGGGATCAATTAAAACTTACAATTTATTACGTAAGGGGAGGGGAGGTTCAAAACAGGCGAAAACTCCCTTACGTAATATAGGGACAGCCCCTAACAAGTTAAATTTTATACAAAGTAGATTTCATCCATTAAACAGATGAGTGAAGGTTAGTATTGGGCACTTTAGTTCTTTTGAGTGAACCGTTCAGTTGTAGTTCGCTCACCTTAGTGAACTAGTTCTTTAGTTCATTCAGTTAATTTCGTTCAAATGACGAATATCATTTAATCATATAATTATCATACAAATTACATACAAAACAAAAACTTTGGTAATTTGAATTCACAAACTACTTTTACAAATATAAAAAACGCCCAGTAAACATGGATAAATTTGGTACGAAAAAAAAAATTGTAACAGCGCTTTTTTGATGCAGTTTACTTCTGTTCTGGATTCACAGTCTTGTCCCTAAATTTCATTTCGCATCGTTCCGCCATGTTGGATTTTATTTTATTTTTGGGTTTTACGCGATTTGCAAGCTTATTTTGCATTTTTCGTAAAAAATGGTTAAACACAAATTTGTACAGAATTTAATTTCCCACATTTGTTGCATAAGGGGTTAAAAAAAACTTTTTTTGTTGTAAATATTATCAAATACTGCGAAAAAATTTACATTGTCACGGTTTTCCCCATTTTTCGACAATTTCTGTTGAAAATGCATAGCATATTGAAATTCCAAAGTTGTAGAGGATATCATTCTCCACAACTTTTATTTGGATTTGTTTTTTTTTTTGTGCTACGCTTATATCACGACCGGGAACGTGCCTAACATAGCGATGTAAGGGAAGCGGCGTGAAATTCATTTCCATATGTAGTACCAGTACAGTACGATGGCAAAAATTCCATAGGACTTAAAATGATCACATAGACGGCCCCATTGAAAACAGTGTGGCCTTTTCAAAAATTAAGCATGTCGTGTTAAATATGGCGTCTAACCTAACCGTAAATTAGATTTTGGTTTACAACTTTTGTGGCACCGGAGTACCCAACACTAAAGAAGAAAAAGTAACAGCAGGTTATTATAATTTTGAGGTTGCTGATTACGAACCTAGAGCATGATTTTAAATATTCATAATGGCGAACCCAATATGGTGGCCAAAAAAATAAAATCCATTCGATTCGCTTGAAAAGTTTTCCTCTGGGGCTCTTGAAGTCCCTTATTACGAATCTGAGGTCAGGTTAGAAAAATTCAAAATGGCGGTACAATATGGCAAAATAAAATTTAAAATGATTAGAATCGCTTAATACTTTAAAATCCAGTGTTCTTAAGGTTGCAGATTACGAATCTTAAAACCGATTTAAAAAATTCAAATTGCGGGTTAGTTTGACAACGCCGGTAATCTTCTCTGGGTTTCTATATCACTGAGCTCTTCCTAAGCGGCTGGACCAATGTTTTTGAGTGAGTTCCTGGATGATTTAGATTCACAACTGGGTCAGTTGGATTTGGGGTTTGATGCCCATTTTCATCTTTTCGCATACCGTATATCAAAACATATAACCCCAAAATTAAAACTAACTAGGACTGTGAGTTCTATCTAGATTTGTTGTATATCAGAATATACGAATTGTTTCAGCCGTACGACTAACCCATCATCCTGAATTAATTTTGAAACAATGGCCCATATGCATAAAAACTAAGCTTTCACTTTTTACTTTTCACTTTATCATTATTTAATGAAGAATTGAACACTTAAACCTTCTGAAAACAATTTTTATAATTTTTGAAGTGAAAACTTCTTTAGCGGCGGGAGTGATTTTTAACTCTATGAAACAAAAAACGTGACAACAAAATCAACAAAAATACGCATTTGTATGTTATTTGCCTTGAAGTGTGTCGTTATGTATGCTCATAGAATTCAAGCGATTTATCGCATAGAATTCAAGCTAAAGGTTGAAGTCATGGTTCAATAATAGAAAGGTTTTTTAATAAAACAGTCTTCTCGCTCCCACACATAAAATCGGCTCCTTTACTTGTGTAGAATGTTGCTCACTCTATAGATTCTAGTTATATTAGTATTTAGTAAGACCAAAAATTCTTCATACTAAATATTCGTTGGCATCACCTTCGTTTGTGTAATTTTCTGAAACAAGTCTAGAATAGCGACCTTTTAGCTATAAAATAACCATTTATTATTTATTTGGCTCAGGTAAAAAATAAAGAATATATAAGAGGTTTATTTGCTTTGTTTATTTATATTTTTTATTATAACTTAATTCTTAAAACCAAAAGGTAGATCATGATAAAATATGTATACCGCATTAAAGATAATAACGTGTCCTTTCTAAGTAATAAAAATTTCATTTTTGGATTTTAGTGGTTTTGGTTTAAATATATAAAAAATAATTTCAATTATNATAATAAAAATTTCTTTACCATTAATCATGCAGGTCTTTCTCAAAAAAGGTTATTTCATGAAAAAATAACATTTGTTGGATTTTAGTGGTTTTGGTTTAAATATATAAAAAATAATTTCAATTATGTATATCAGCGGAAAGATAAATTGATTATCTTTATGGTGACGTTATTAGTTTTTTAATAGGGTATGTGGTTCATAAAATATTAATATTTAAAAGAATTAAAAAGTTTAAATTTAACCTTTAAATCGTCTTTACATTTTACTTGCGCTAAATAATTTTCGCATGGTTGAAATGAGCGTAAAAACCTCTATTAACCTGCATTTTTCGTTTTTGCGTAGCTGAAGGGTGGGTATTCTAGATTTGTTCCCGGAAATTAAAAATCCATATTTTTACATTTAGTATTTCCATTAAAACACCAAATATATTGCAAATTCACATAGAATTAATAATACACATTTTACTTCTAATTGTATACTTTGCGCACTTTTTTTAGTACCTTTCTACTACCGTTTTCGCAAAAGGCGATCACATTCTTCCCCTTTATCCTACTTCCAAAATACAAATCTAGATAAAGGAGTGTCAAATTTGAACTGTCACAAATTACATAACCTTGTGTTATTGAATAATGGGTTGAAGGCAAATCTAAGTGATTTTGTTTTTGTTTTCTTCGCTATTCTTTTGCCCGTTGATCATATGTGTATGTTTGTACGTGCGATAAGCTGCAATGCAAACACGCGACTACTAATAAGACTAATAAGCGACTATAAATAAGAGCCTAAT